TCGAAAGTTATTTCTTTCACACGAGCGACAAAGTCCTCTTTCTTTCACACAAACGCCATTATATAATTTGAGTAGGCAGCTACCACCAAAATTGAACTTCTCATTTATTTTTTTTTTGGGTAAAAAAAAAAAAAGGTAAAAAGGAAGGTGATTGGAAATCACTCCCAAAAAGCGAAAAGCATTTGACTGAGGGGTAATTTGTTTGAGATCATGAAATATTTTTTATATTAATAAATGTTTTGACTCCGGGATTTGAATTTACTCTCAGAAAACATAAAATGACATTTTTACCTTCACATCATCAAACAAGGCTTATTGCTCATACTTCACACAACTATTGGTCTCCAGTCGAATGAGGCAGGTGGTTTAACTGTAGCTGTTAACTATGATTCATGTGGACCTGTTAAGGGAGTGGACCATGTGGGTAGGAACTACTATGTTATCTTGTTTTCTAAATTCGCTTTAGAGACAGACGGTGCACTCTTTCAAGGAACAACTGAAGAGAAAAAAGCGTATTGGTGGAAAATATTTAAATATCTCACAACAGCACGGATCCTATATACGGAGATATCCAAAACTTGCATATTCCTTGTTATTAACATATCAATGAGATCTACAAGGGATATGGGAGTACATAAAACTCCTTCCATGCCAGCTTTTAAGCACAAGAATGGCTTGTAAGGGAAATGTGTTTCTTGGAATGTCCATATGCTCCAGATGAAAGGAAAAGTAAGAGACCCGTACAAGCACAATCTTTGGTGAAAGCTATAGGGTCCTCGTGCGCGGCATACTTTGAGGTTTGTCTTTCTTGAATACTTTGAAAAGTCAAGGCATTAGAACTAGCGCCAAAATTTCGGTTGGTCGAATGGATACATAGACAGGTTGGTTGATTGAGTGGCTCAATTGCCTGTTCTGTGCTCAACCCTAGTTCCTCGACAGCACCTCGAGGTGCATTTAGTTGTCTTACATAAGACTAGGGATATTCCTCACTCCATGGCACCTCTCGCGCATTCATTCTTCATGCCCTTCCAGACATGACACCCCTTATCATTATCATCTACCACCGTTTCTTTCCTCTCGGCTATTCATGCATGACGATCGTCATATATATGCTTGGCTTTGGTTACCGGTGCTATAGGTAGGAGTACATTATGGCAGATCAATCACCCGGGCAAACCAACCCTCCTCCAAGAAGAATTGTTTTGGTGACTTATTGTTTTACTTCCTGATCAGTTTGAGTGAATACTTCATTGTGAACTTGGAAGTCTCTCAAGTCTACATGTTGTGCACCTCGGTTGATATGAATTATGTAGATACTAAAAGAGCATATGATTGCTATGTTATCCTCTGAGGGTGTACAATTCAAACACTTATGTGGAGCCAAAAATAATCTCAAAAATCATGGAGGCGACACATGTACTTTTAGCCAAAAAAAACAAGACTGCCCTTATTAAATGAGCTGGGCATCCCAAGCGCAGCTCAATATCCTAGGACTACTCAGAGCTCCACTGCACGTGGAAAAAGTCGAAGGTACTTAGTGATAGGATTATCCCTAAATCCTATCATAAATGCATTCCCAACTGAAGATAAACCCTATCAAGTAATTATCCCAATTATATTTAATTATGGATAATTACCTTCAATTTCAAGATGTTATTTACACAATATCTTGGGAACATTCTCACCAAAATCAACCCTAATTGCTGGCCATTTCTCTTATAAATACCCAATTTCTCCACAAAAAAATGGTACGCCTTTTCTATGCACAGAAAACCTTAAGCACTCACTTTTATCAGAGAGACTAACTTAGGCATTGGAGATCCATTGGCCAAAACCGCCTCCTCCCACTCTTCGTGGACTCATGAGGTTTTTGGTCTTTGATCAAAAGGGTTGATTGTTTTGCAGGAACATTTTCGTCAAGACTGAAGACGTTGAAATTTGCATCGACAACTCATGCATGTAATTAATGCACGTAAAGAAATCAAACCTTAACCTAATAAAGCTTTAGCAGCAGCCATAGAAAGTATTGCACTGAGAAGAAAAACACTAAGTCTTCTATTAACTCCTAGTCGTATGACAATGCTCTATAGGAAGCTTTTGTGTCATGTGTTCTAGGGTTTATAAGGACCGATATTTATTAGTGTTCTAAAAAATGCTCTAGGCGCTAGACAGCGGTGCTCCGCCATGATTAACCCAAAATCGTTTACTAAATCGGGAAAGCTATTAGACAGCGTAAGGTGAATGCCTAGGCGGCCTAAACGGATGCTGGGCGGGCTAGACGGAAGCTGGATGGTCTGGGAAAATATGACCGTCTACCCAGAAGCAATCGGACGCTGGCCAATTTGGGTGCTCTGCGCCTCGCAATCTTCTCTCCCCGAGTCTCGTCGTCTCCCTCTTGGTGTGACAATTGTATACGATACGACAGAGAGAGTATGGATCTGCAATTACAGATGTGGTGATATGGCTGACGGCGGCAATGGTTTTTGCAGTAAGCAGCTTAGGGTTTTTTTTGGAAAAAATGTGAGTTAATGATTGGGAATTGGGAGGCTGGTACAAATATCTTGGTGTATTCTTTCATTCTAATAGGAAATATAGAATAATAAATGGATTAGATGGCTTTGGGTTTTTTGTTAGGGTCCATTGCGCCCATCTATAATGGACTGGACAATTCTATTCAAAGGTGAAACAAGGAATACAAGGCCCAACCTTACATTTTATTAATGAAAAAGGCCCAAAAATTTTTATAGGCTTAGAAAATGATACAAAAGGGCTAAAATTTTACATATTTTCTTACAAATATATTTTTCTTTTAAAAAAAACATATTATTCAATGTTTATTTACATATTAGGTAGTAAGTTGAATTAAAAATTACTTAAATCCGCCTAATCTGCCTAGGCGCCTAGGCGCTAGGCCCCAGCCCGCTGCTCGACTAGCATCTAGCGTCTTTTAGAACCTTGGTATTGATATAGGCTAAAAGCTAGGGCTTCCATCCATAAAAGAAACCTAAACTTACTTTCTTAGCTTCCAAGTTAAGTATCATAATCATATCCAATTAAGGTTTCCAACAATCCTACTTCCAATATAAAACACCCCATTGATATCTCTAGAGATCAAATCACCATCAATATTATTCTCTAATTATACATTCTTATTACATATATATAAAGGTTGATTTATGTTGGATAAATCCAATCATATTAGAGTTGTGGATTAAATCATTTACTTACTTGATATGCCTAGCCAGGAGCCTACGACCCATATGAAGGACTGTTCACAGTTCCAGGTGGGGTTGTGAATATGACTGGTCCTCATGTTTAGTCTCTACAGAGGGACTAGCTAGCTCCTTATCATCTTTGAGCAAGAAAAATCAAAGCTTTAATTATTCTGCATGAATTTTCATGCATTCATCGTATGGAATATATCATAGTTTTTGGCCAAATTTTCCACATAAAATTTGATCTTCTCAACTTCTTAACATTGTCAAACATTCAATGAGAGTCGGACTGACTCATTCATAGGCACGGATTCAAAAACGCGCACGTTCTCCAGCCGTTGAGGATGGTTTAGAAAAAGGATGGTCAAGAGCTTTGAATGTTCCGGGGGAGTCTGGGGCATAAAATTCTTTTTTTGGAAATTTCATTTGACCTCTATATTAACCACGACAAATGAAGCAAGGAGATCTTTAATCAATATTTTTTAAATTGACATAAACCAAAACTACATTAATTGTTTGTGTTTTGTTTCACTTAAAAAAATTAGCATGTTAATTCTCAAACAAGCTAAGGACTTATCAAACACGCAAACGCCTTCTCCACCAATATATATATATATATATATATATATATATATATCCTAATTCAAAGCTTCTCTGGTGTTTAAGTTCATTCAGTCACTGTTTATCGCATTTGGTTGTATCACAAAATCCCAATCATATCAGTATTTCTCTCATCTTGGATTTATTAGGATTTTTAAGGTTTTTGTATTGATTGATTGATTGGGAATGAATTTTTTGCAGAAAAAATTTAAAAATTGGCAGAACAGTCTTTTTTCCTTCAATTTGATTGAAAGCCCCATCAAGGTTTTTATCAAGGCCCATTGATGGACCCTATCCTCTTTTGTGTACGTATCTTTCTCATCTTAATGAATATCGCACTCTTTTTATAAAAAAAAATAGTCATTATAAGTAAAAGTATGATCAATTTTTAGAAAATTCTATTTTATGAGCCCATTATAAATTTCTCGCTCCACCACTAAACTTGCAATCATATATGAGCCTCATATGGGAACTTCATGAGACTCAATATATTTTAATGAGTGTTTTCAAAATACAAATAATGCTTGTTGAAATTCATGGTAACTTTTCCTTTCCCTTCAAAACCATTTATTAATTGAATTAAAATTCTAGTTAAAATGAGTATTTCAAAATACAAATAATGCTTGTTCAAATTCATGATAACTTTTCCTTTCCTTTCAAATCCATTTATTAATTGAATTAAAATTCTAGTAAAAAACGTTGGCTGGCACTATTGCAACCATTTCTCTCTTCATTTGATTTTTTTATTTTATTTTATTATTATTATGAGGATGAAAAGGATTCGAAATTATTACAATAATTAAAGGGAGGGGGAGTTTCGAACTCGACACGCAGGATTAAAAACCTAACACTAAATTATATATGCACTAGAATATTAAACCACATGCTTCATATTATTATTATTGTGCCAATTATTTCGTTAATTCTTCAACTTTATATACATAGTAAATCTCCAAAGTTTATGATCTTTCTTTCCTACACCGAATGGAAGATCCACCCTTTTCTTTTCAAATTGATCCAATATTGATCGGAGTTCTTTTTGTATGCTATAATTATTCTCTCTCCATTACAAATTGACCTTATCATAAGCATATTTCAAAGCATGTGATATTTTATTGGATATCGTGCTGGATTTTTATCCATGCCTCGACGGTTTGATGTAGTATACTGTATATGCAATACAAGGAAAAAAATATTGTTCTCAATTCGTAAAGTTCTAAGTTTTGTTCATACAAATCACCCCTTTTTATGTCGATGGAAATTAATCGAGGTTCATTACATCGCATGTCTCTTGAGCACAACAGGTACAAGAAGTTTCAGAACCGGAAGGCGATGTTCCGTTCCTTATTCGTAATTTTCTTCACACATACCGCAAAGCTTTTGAAATGAACAAATCAACTCGTATATGTTCGCTTCCGACCTAGGGTATAAGAACAATAGAGCCAGATGTTTTCCTGTTCTCAAGGTCTGCGTGTGCCCGTGCTGCTTCAGATAATGAGTAGGTGTGATTCACTCGAACCCGCAATATACCCGATGCAACATTAGCAAATACCTCTCCTGCAGCCTCTAACAATTCCTCTCGAGTTACAGCGTAATGAAAGAGGCTAGGCCGAGTCAAGAAAAGTGATTTCGCTGCAATAGCTGATAACGGAACTGGATCAGGCGCACCTGATGACTGCCCAAAACTCACCATGTATCCCCGAAGTTTTAAGACTTCCAGGGATCCCTGAAAACAATACCTCCCGATAAGAATTCATAGTTGAAAACATTACTTATCTATTAGATGATGTCAATGTTGGAGTTGAGTAGTTTGGATAAATCATGACAGCTTATGAATATAAGACAAGTATAACTTACCTCAAACGTATCCTTCCCTACAGAATCGTAGACAACTTCAACCCCATTGTTGGATGTTATTTCTTTCACACGAGTGACAAAGTCCTCTTCCTTGTATATTATGACATGGTGGCATCCATCCTCCTTGGCCTGAGCTGCCTTTTCTTTAGTTGATACAGTCCCAATGACAGTCGCACCAAGGGCATTAGCCCACTGGCATAAAAGGGATCCAACTCCACCAGCTGCTGCATGAACAAGGACTGTGTGTCCAGGTTCGACCTGTATAACAAAGGTCGAGTCAGATCTAATAACAAAAGCAACAAAGGTTTCAATTTTTCAAAACATTCATAAAATTAGGAAAAACGATGGCCATCATTAGGCATGCAATTGTAGAATGAAGATATGTTGAGATTAACAAAGCACTTCACTTTTCACACTTAGCTGTGATGCTTTTCTTATTTCCGCAGACTGTCCATCATAACGGAAACAAGAAGCGTACCACAAATGAAAAAGTGAAAGAGAAGGAATGGCAGTTTTCCCTTGTATCAGATATTTAAAGGAACAGATTAATAGAGAGAGAAAGCTTCTCAACTTCTATGAGTGCTCATGATTCGCACATGAAAGGGTTACACACAACTCAGCTTACGTTGCCGAAACAGGGACAATAGCTAAAATTGGTTTAGCGGTACACTGAATTTCATTTACTGATTTACATTTGCTGGCAGTGATCAGTATCATTAGTAACAAATATTCACCTTGACAGGAACAGTGTGTGTATGAAACAAAGAGCTCTACAAAAACATTCTGCAATTCCACATTTATTTTCAAGAGAGATTAAAAAAAGCAGATGCGGGTACATGTGTAAAACTACCTTGAAACAGCGGCGTAGTAGAAACTGAGCTGTCGTACCCTTAAGCATGAGGGAGGCTGCAACTTTAGGATCAATGGAAGGAGGAACAGGCACAGCTCTGTTTGCAGGAAGGATCTGCTCTTCCGCATATGAGCCCATTTGCTGACCAGCATAGGCTACAAGATCTCCAACTTGCCTGCCTGTTAGACCTGGTCCCACAGCTGTCACGACTCCACAAGCCTCGACACCTGAAATCAGTTTTGGTTTATACATAAATAGGGTAACTAGTAACTACATCTGCAGTGCCCGATAAAGTTTCAGATGTATATACACAATCAAAATATCGGTGGGAACTGTTATCTGATTTCATGCTCTGCATTCTTGTTTTTAAGTTCATCCCAATCATTCCTAACCATTTGTCGAAATTTATACTCACCAGAGAGGTTACCCAAAATTTTTAATAAAATTTGGATACAAGATAATCTTGGTTGAAATGCATCTCTATAATCTCAAAAATGAATTTTATTCGACTAGTGAACTTAATGAAATGAAACAAAACCTGGGGTGTAGGGAAGCGTAGCAGCCTTATAAAGGCCTTTGCGGTAGTACACATCAATGAAATTAATCCCGATGGCCTCATTCTTCACTCGAATCTCGCCCTCCTTTGGCTCCCCTACTTCCACATCTTCCCATTTCAACACCTAACATGATCACATGGCCAAAGTGAGAAAAACGATTGGGAATTATTGGCATAAACTAATAACCAAAGCAAAACTTTAACGAAATGGATATCGAATAATCAGCATCAAAGGAGTATAAATCGTTTTCTGGTCCAATTGCCGGCTTATGTGAACGATTATAAAAGAACAGCACTTGATATGGCACTATAAACTCTCTACCAGACAGTATAAATTGAAGCTTATCAACCATCAACAAGCATGCTCACTTCCAAATAAATTATCATAGCACAGATTAGAAGCAATTCTCAAATTCAACGAGTCAAAATTACAAACAATAAAAACAACTCAGAGGCTTCTTAATTAAATTGGGCTGATTCTGTTTTTCTCATACAAATCAAAGCACAACCCAGAATTCCAATTCGTAGACAATATATGTAGAGAGAGAGAGAGAGAGAGAGAGAGAAAGAGAGAGAGAGACCTCAGGGCCACCATGCTACTATCAGAGCTTAGGGTATACACAAAAATAATTTACGCTTTGCTACCATGCTGGTGCAATAGCAAGATCTTGCACACACTTTAAATGATGGGATATGTATATTAAAAAGTTAATAACTTAAAAAATAAAAAATTTCACCACTTGCATAAAAACACGTGGTGTACCATCCGTTTTCCCATCACAACTAAAAATTTCACCATGAACTCAACCACCTGCACAACCCGGGGCAGTCCACCAATGATTCTAATTTACTCAGAGTTTTAATTTGCTAACGACTTAATTTATTTATTTATTAAAGGGTAATTAAAGAAAATCTAGTTGTGAAGTCCTTGTAGTTTGTATTGACCAGTATTGACGGATAAGAAGGGTAGTATGGTCAAAAAGGTGGCACTGAAGTGAGGCAGTTAGTATATTTGGAAGTTAGTTAGAACTAGAAAAATTGCCCGTGCTTCGCTACGGGTTTTGGAACTATTATCCACAACATGCATGAATAATTTGCATAGAAAGGTGCACTACAAAGTATTAGTCAGCTCATGCAATACATACAAATTTTCAAGCTATTATCCACAACAGGCATGAATACAGTGCACAAAAAAATATTGGTCAGCTCATGCATAACATACAAATTTTCAAGCTCTGAATTGCCTTGTTCTCAAGTCAGTATTCTGTTCTGTTTACAACCATTGAACTTATTATGTGAATCCAAAGTGGAAAAGCCAGGAAGACATTCACAAACCCAAATCAAACTCACCAAATCTGACATTAAAGAATAAATTATATAAAGTGACATATTGAAAGAAACTCAAAAGAGATTAGAAAGAAAAAGAGATTGCACCGGAGGAAGTGGGAAGGCGAGGAGAGACGCAGGTGTAGAGGTCAATGGAGAAAGCCACTGCCAAGAAACCCAAGCTTAAAGAAGCCCTCTTTGATGCGACGGACCAACATGCTAGGCAATACAGAAAGCAAATGGAACAAAACTTTAACCAAACAAAAGGAATAAGCAATTATTAAAATATTAGATACATTAGATGAAACAATTTAATAAAACTCTAGGAATTATTTGTTAAGACACATGAAATTCCCTATTTAAGATTCTAGATAGAATGGAAAAAACGTAATTGAACTAACGATTAAGAATTGAAGTTACTTTTGTTAACATAATAACATTTATTTGCAGGGGATTGATATCGTTTATATTTTATTGCATCAATGTATATAGGGCTTGTCACTTTATAATAAGTTACACTACAGTATCCTTCGATTTTACATGTATCTATTTTGGTGAGAGATACAAATAAGGATAACTTGGTACGAAAACACAATACGACATCTTTTAACATAAAAAATTAAAAGCGAAAACAAAAATGGCAAAGATAAAAATCAAAATCCAATTAAATAATCGAAGAAAACAATAGAAATATCCATCAAGAATTTAAAAAAATAAATTAAAAAAGGGGAATTATACCAAATCCTTGGACGAAGGCACAAATATAGCCCCGAAATCCTAGAAGAAGTAGATGACTCCTTTTACCCCAAAAGCTCATAAGTGAAGAAAGAAGATGACGACCCAGTTATTCGTTGGTAGTGATTTGCATTTGACCCATTTAGAAGACGATATGTGCGTCTCAATTGCTTCCCAGCAATCCGACTCTTCAACTTCAAATTATTTAAGCATTTTTAAGCAAATCCAGAATTACACATCTTTCTCTAACAATAAAACGCAATTGCATTGTCTCTCTTTCTAGAAAATGTAAAAAGTTTCAAATTCATGCACACAGAGAGAGTACTTTAATTTTTTTTTACATAACATGAGATGTGGATAATATTATTTATCCAAAAAAATATGTACAATTTTCTTTGTTAAGTTCTTCGATTTAAAAATCTCAATTTCACAAACATGGCAGAATTTTAATGATCTACAATACACAGAAAAACAATATTATCCAGCATAGAATAGAGCAGAAGAAACTATAAAAAAATATCTAGCATTACATCTTAGGTATATTTATGAAACACAGATTTGATGTGTGTGTAAGTAAATCTTTTAGGGTTGTCAATTGGCTAAAAAATATATTGGAAAATAATCAAAAGAAAACACTTTTAGTAGGTTATAAATATTTACCAAGGTCTGTTCAGCAATAAAACTCAGTTCATGCGGAATTGGGGGAAAGAAAAGGTTCAAAACTCTAATCATCCAAATAGAACCTATTATGTTAAAATGGTTCTTGAATAAGGTCAGCAGTGGTATTTGCAAAGAAACAACGATGTTAACTCTCAATATCTAACTGGGCAATTTTCAAACTTTTTGTAATAATTTTTCAATTCTAACAGGTAATTCTCCACTTAATTGTTTAATCTTTTAATTGCTACAAGCCTACAAGTATATTGTGACATCCCGTCCCGAGTTTATAAAACGTATGTGTGAAATTACCTTTTACCCCTAGTTCGTTAAAATTTCGTTTAGTGTAGTTTCGGGTAGTGTGGAAATGTGTAAGACACACACACACACCTGTCATTTTCCCTTTTTCCTCTACCTTTCCCTGATTCCCTCTTCCCTGTCTCTTTTCTGTCTCTCTCTCTCTCCCCGAGCTCCCTTCTTCATCATCTTCTTCTTTCTTCAACATACGGATCACACACAAACATACTCAAATCTTCACTCTCTCAAGAAACCAATTACACCGTTGAACTCGTGAAGTCGAGAGGAGCACAACCATACCATTTTCAGGTGAGAAATCTTACGTTTTCACGTCGATTCGAAATAATCCGTTTTGAACACTATTCATGCAAACTTAATCTAGTTAGTTTTTGAACTTTCTAAGCTTGTAGATGTGTTAGTGAGGTCCCAAGGAGCTTGGGAGTACTTCGTTGGACGAGTTTGGACGTTGGGAAAGCTAGGTTCAAAGTTGACCGATTTTAGATTGTGTGGACAGGTATAATTCCTTGATTTTTAGGCCTTAAAAGTAGTCTAACGTGATTCTACTAGTCCTAAGCTTCATTTTGGTATAAAGAACGTGAAAAATGGTTGAAAAACGAGTGAGAAAACAAAGTTTGAAGTTTTTGCAGTTTTCCGACGATGGCGCCGGCGACGGTGGCTCGCCGGAGAAGAAAGGGGAATATTCCGTTAAGTTTTAACGGAATATTCCTAACGGCAGTGATGGCGTCAGTTAGGGAATATTCCGTCAGTCCAACGGAATATTCCTGACGGCGTCAGTTGACGCCGTCAGTGTGCGTGGCACGTGACCGCGCGTGGGGGGCGCGTAGGTCCGTGCCTAGTCAGGCGCGTGGGGGCGCGTGCGTGGTCCAAAAATTATTTTAAAAATATGGGTGTGATCCTGAGGTTGTGTAGATCACGTTGGTATATTCATTTGTCCATTTTGAGCAATGTATGAGAAATTATTACAAGAAGTTGGTTATGTGCTTTGAAATTGACGTTTTTGTAGTTGTTTCGCGTATAGGTGATACGTACTCCGAGGACGAGCGTATTCACTCGAGGCAGGGGGGCTACGACCCTTCCACATATCAGTGAGTGGGCTTTTGGTTTTCCGTATATACCTATATACGTTTATATTCCCAGAAATTGGTTAGAAAAGGTTAATTGTTTTATGCCATGCATCATATGTTTGTCGTTTATGCATCATTACATGCATAAGTAGTGGCATGCATTTATATATATGTGTATTGGGTGCTGTGGATGCACAGGTAAGTGCCAGGTAAAGGTTATTCGTATTTACATTCATCAGTAGCTTGAGATGCTTAGAGAGCTCATAACCTGATCCCCGGTGTTAGTGCTCGCCCTGAGCAGGACCAGCCTTCACGTGATGTTCACCTCCCCCGCACCTTATGCTCAGCTTGGATCCAAGCTAGGTGCATAGCCTGTCGTACAGACCACACTAGGTGGTTCCGACTCGTAGGTGACGTGCGATTAATCGCCCAGCTTCACGTGATCGTAGCACTAGAGCGTATTTATACGTAACACCCCGTCCTGTCGTACAGACCACATTAGGTGGTTCCGACTCGTGGGCAGGTTCAGTTGTTTAGTTATTGTGAATGAGATTTGAGCTCTATACGCAGCCGTACAGGTCACGTTAGGTGACTCCGGCTGCCAGGTTATATGTTAATGATATGAGTTATGCCTGAGCGTTTACATTATATTATGAGATTTCGATGTGGCATATCTTGAGTACGATTGGCATACCTTTGAGCATGACATGGCATATCTATGTATACGTACATACGTTTATTTTCTGGGAAGTATACAGGTTTTACGGCGAGGGGTTATAATGTATTTTATGAAATGGTTTTCAAAGAGCTTTGTTTTTGCCCACTCACGCTTTTGTTTTGCGCCCCTCCAGGTTCTAGTTGCTTAGCAGTTGCGGTGGTCTTCCCAGAGGGCGTCCCGGCATTTCTGACAGATACTCATCAATGTAGGGTCACCTTCGGGTGTACTATTGTCGTACTTTTCTCTTTGGACTGCTGTAGTCTTGCTCTGAACTTAGCGTCTCACTTACGCTAGTACTTGTCTTGGTACTTTGTTTACTAGATTTTAATTTATTCGTACTTTTATATTACTTTATTTAGCTTCCGCACGTGCACATGGTTACGTCATCTCCGAGTGACGGCCAGCACGCCCTGATCTCGGTCGGGGTGTGTCATATATTGTCTTTCGAACATTCTAATTTTCCTTATGACCATAGCCCTTAATTATTGTTAAAAAAAGTATTGAAGAGTCATATTTTTTCTATGACTCCGGCTGTAATGAAGATTTTCCACAGTGGTCAGGATGGTAAAGGTTTATAGCTATCTAACTTTATTCATATGTGTGTTCTTTCTCATTTACTTTTCTACTCATATGAACTTAAACTTTAAACTAAACCAATTTTAGGGTTTTACAACATTTCAAGCACACTCCTACAGTCGGGAATTCTCCCTATGTCTCTCCTCCTTTCTCTTCAATGTTTGATTGGTATTTTACTGTTATTAGGTTTTCCATTTTGGTTTTTGCCTCAATCAGAGAGAGAGAGAGAGAGAGAGAGAAATGTCTTGCAAACAATCAATTGGTGTGCAATTTGTGAGGGAATTTGCTCCATTCTTTCTTTTGGTTAATTTACGTTTTTGGTAATTAAACCTTTTGTTTTACTTTGTCTTTTTTATTTTGTTATGTTCCTCTAATCCAGGAATTCGACCTATTGATATTTTTGTAAATTTTAATTATGTTTATAAGTGTTGGAAAGTGGATGCTACTTGCTATTGTTCATAGACTTTAGGTAGGAACTTGCATTTAAAATCTCATGTTGTTTGACAATTGCATGAATAACATTTAAATCATTACTTTACGCAAAGTGAAAACGAAGAACATTACAACTTTTTAGAACGTGCATGGTAAAGAAAAAGTTCATCGTTATACAATACATTAAAAATATATCTTGACAATTACAATGGAAGAAAAACTATCATAATACACCTTTAGGGATGTGTAGCGTCTGTGATGCAAAAATGCTTAACGTGCGTGCGGAGAGGCTAGTTCTTTATAAATTACTTTAGTCTAAAGTAAGATTTGAAATTGGCACTGTTTAAATGAACAGTGTTTGAATCCGAATTTTATTCTATTTAAGATCACGCCACTACTTTTCAGAGTGGCCTATGTGTTTGGGTTTGAATTTCAGTTTAATTATGATCATGCCACTGTCGGTTTCTGGTTTGGTATTGCTGTGCTTTGGAAAAAAAACTGTTTCTGCTGTGCTGAGAGAATAAACTCATTTTTGTTACTTCACGTTTTCAATTTTTTTATATCAAAAACTGTGAAAATAAACTATTTTTAAGTGTTCATCAAACATATTTTTGAACTCAATTTTTCTTGTACTCACTTTTTATAAAAGGAGTTCAGTAACAAACCAGTGGGTTTGGATATTTCAGCTTTTTTACGAAGCTGCCATTGGTTCGAATGACGGGAATGCCCGTTTAGGGTTAACATTGCACGGTTGGGGGTAAAAGTTGGGTGGGCATTGTTGTCAGTTTGGGTTTGGGACAAGTTAGGATTGTATTCGGTGGGATCGACCGCCCAGTGTGGGATTTGGTGAGGGGAAGGCATGCGGCCTACAGAGAGGAGGAGAGATAGAGGGGGAGGGAGAGAGCGTTCTGCAGCACGCTAGCAGTTTTCGTTCAGATCCAGGTTTGTTTTTTTTCCCTTAAAATTTAGATTTTTTTTCGCCATTTTATGTTTCGTTCGGATCCGGGTCCGTTTGGTTGCCGAGAAATTCACTTGAAAATTTTCTTTTTGTTGGTTTTCAATTTGTTATTTGGGGTCGCGTCTGGGATGATTGCTTGCCGGCATTTGAATTCGGCTTCTGGGATTGCGAAATTCTTCGATTCGAAGTATTGCTTGTCGGCATTTCATAGATCACATTATGCATTTTGTTAGTGAATTGTGCTGAGAACATGTCAATCATATTTAGGTTCTGTGCAAGGAAGGGGACATATGAATCCTGCTCTTGATGATTCAATATGTCATCAAATACAGAAATCGAAAACCCATTTGGTGAGCCCTTGAGTCAGGGGCTACGCTAGAACATTTGGAATGAGAGTGGTCAAAGCCAATCATGTTTTTGTATTATTTTCGAGTTGAAAAATTAGGTTTTGCTTCATAAGAAGTTCAAATTACACTCTATTGGCTCTGAGACTTGGAAACTCAATATCTTTGTGATGTTAGATTAACATAGTTAAACTATATTTTCTTTTGATGGACATATCTAAATTTCTGTATTTGCACTGTAAGGATGTCTTATCTGGTGAAGTGTTCAAAATCCTTCTGCTAACTGATTTAATAGGTTGAATTTGTATCCAAGGTTTTCTTCCAATATGGTCTGAACTATTTTGTTTAATTAACGAAAACAGGTCACTTCTCTCTATGGTGGTCCCTTAGAGTTTACGTTTATCATGCAAAGCACAGAAAACCCTGCTTATCGGGCTGTATCTATGCTACTATCAGAGCTTAAGGTATACGCAACAATAATCATGGTTGCTTTAATATAAGAAGAACATCCAGGACAAGTCATATATAATATATGCTTGGAAGCATGCATAACATTTTTTAGGTTACATGTGTTCCCAGAATGATCTGTTTTACGTTTAACTTCATTTCCTTGCAGGACAAGGTTGATGTTAAGATTGTTATGGCTGGTATTTCAACAACCTGCAGTCAGAAAATTCACAACCAGTTGGTATGTACCTGATTAAAATAATTTACGCCTTGCTACCATGCTGGTGCAACAGCAAGGTATTGCACAGTTTAAGTGTTATCTTATCAAATCATTATGTACCTATAATTGTTCTATATGACGAGTTTCTTTTCTTTATGGAATACAGGAATATAAATTTATTACTAAGTCTTAATGGTGTAGGGTATATGTAAATGAATTCAATTAGAACTCACATTTTTGTTTTCTGTTTTGTAGCTGCCTTGATCATTAGTTGGTGATATTTGAGAGATTGGGTCATCTGGTTGTTTGGATTTAAGTGGGATTGAGGTTATATTTGCCGCTTTTTGTGATTTGTGTCTGGGTTATCGTTAAGTTATTGCTATTTATTCTGGGTATTTGCTGAAATTTGTGTTCAATTAGTGTGAGTTCTGTAATTGGTTTGTGTTCGTTCATATAACCTTCTGTTCTTGGAATGTGATTTAGTTGTGGCTCTTTCATTTGATTCTTAATTCTTTATGATTCAGCATTAAGTTGATATTGATGATGAATTTTTCCTCGCGATTACTGCTTTCATGTTTAAATCTTAATAACTATACTTGCTTCTCTTGGGTGTATGTTTTGCTGGTCATGAAAAACTGTCGGCCAGTCTTTTTGCACCACTCTTTCGCACTCTTTTCCGTGGCTATCATGTTTCTCTCTGACCTTATAAATTTTTCCTTCATTCACAGCAAAAAACCTTGCGGCGAGCAAACAGGCATAACCAATTCTGCCAGAATTGCTGGAGAATTCCACAATCAATGTCATCGAGTACGGCCAGAAGCATGTTGAGGGTCTAGACGGCGATAGCACCGATGTTGGCAAGAGCGGCGACCCCTTTTCAAGGTACGGTCTTCACTGATTTGAAGTTTGAGTTTGTTTGTGATTTTTTTTTCTTTTGGATTTGTAATTGATCCTTTTGTACCTAACAATTTTTGATCCAAAATTTTTTTCGCGCTTGATTTTCCTGTGAATTTATATGGGTTTAGATTTTTATTGTTAATTTACTGATGTTGGGGGATCATTTTGGCTTCTGGATTGGTTTGAACATTTTTCTGTCTTTGTTTTTTCCTTTGTGTAGTTTTAGTCAGATTGAAGTGTAATTTGCAATTTGAGATTTAATTGAAGTGTTTAGGATTATCTACATATATATATATATATAATCAATGTTGAAATTTTAAACTAAATCACTATGCTGCAATCAAACCCACAGATTGTGGGGTCCAAAAGAAGAAGGAGTGAACAACATGAAATTGGCTTTGGGTAAGTTTCCACACTCTTCTGTGTATGATCTCTTTGAGAAGTGATTTTGGTTTGTGCTTTCAAAAAAGATGATGGCAATTTCATATTTGGACAGAGAAAACAATAGGCATGTATAATGAAGTGGAATTTTTCGTGGTATTATCAACATGCATGTTATAAAGGATTCTTCATTTAATTTTTGGGCTGTGTGTTTTGTGCTGTTTCATTCGTGACTTGTGTGTTTTGTTGTATCTGATTCCGGTATCTGATTCGAGTATACGTCATTGAAGAATGTTAATGAATCCAAACATGGGTTTTGGGGTGTTCTTGCTAGAAAAGCCAAAGACATTCTCGACGATGATGATAATGGAGTTCAGGATTATGATTCACCCCGAACAACAAGGACAGGTATGCTGTCTATGCCAACAAGGGGGTAAGGTGAGATATAGTTTTCATCATGTCTTTATAGTAGCTTGGCATTTTCCAAGGACTTTTAATTGCTGCTGCATTGTTGAATACATTAAGAATGATCCGGTAAACCAGAGAGGGAGTCATCAGCTTATGGATCTGTTAACACATCCAATGTGTTGTAATCTTTTTGCTACTTAAACATGTTAAGACATCAACTCTAAAAAAAACTTTGGTCTGCTACTTTACTTATGGTGCTGTTGGTTTACTCCAACGATAATACCTAGCTAGGATAGCCTTTTCTTTATGTCTTAATTATTGATAGTGCTATCATCATGGCAGGCTATGTTGGAGCAAAAACTGTGCAGGCGAAGACATAAGAGTGATGGATTTTGGAATGAAATGCAGAGGATATCATTTTGTGCTGCTTAAGTAAAAGTTCCTCTTCTGTTATATTTTGTGTGTTGGATATTGTAGAAAATTAATATAAGTTGTATATTCATGATAACTGACTGATTAAGATTACTTACAAGGGGTCTATATGCACAGGAGAGCTCAGCATGAGGGTGCTGTTGGTTTACCTTGCCTGGTAGTGTTGCAGTGCGGGGTTGTTCAAGAAAAAAGGTTTTAAAGGATCCTTTGCAGATGCAGGATCTTCTGCTAAGGTATGGGAATTCCTATTGTTAAATGATAACATTGTAATCCGAGTGTAATTAGTTTAGGTTTTTTTTTTTTTGTTTTTTTTTTTGTTTCTGTGAAATGTTATTTACAATGTCAGAATGTTTCTTTGAATTCAGTTGCTAAGGTTTCTTTTTATAATTTCCCCTTTTAAGAAATTTGCATTTTTGTCCAGATTGTGTGAACCGTTGCTTCAGCCAAAACAGGTGCTCTCTCCATTTTTCATCTCTTCCATACTCAAACCCTAGCCGCTCCACCTCTCTCCCACACATAAGCAAACTCCATCTGAATGCCGAAGAATCCAAAGGTAAATCCCTTCGAACTCTTCGATTATCAGCCAGATTTCAGACTGTTTTTGGGATATACACTGCTATTTCATATAGTGTTAGTTCAATAGTTTAATCCTAAGACCTAGCTCATGAGACATCAGAATTTCGATTGAATTAGCTTTTGTCCAATGCCTTTTTTGTAGGAACAACAGGGATTGTGGACTACACAAACTTAGAAGATATGAAGTACGCGGTAAGTCCTTTTACTTTCTCACTCCAGAGTCCAGACATTCATATTTTCTGTAACCTTCTATGGAGCATGGGTACTAGGTCGTTGAATATTGCTTTTTCAATATGTCAATGTGTCTGAAGCGTCTATAAGAATCTCAAAATTCATAAATAATTTCCATGCAGATCAAAAAGCTTGATGGCTCTGAGTTTTGAAATGCTTTTGACCGCCAATCTGTTCGCGTATGAATCTTACAAGTTGAAAATTTATTTTCTTTCCTCCTGTATTTTTGTTTATCTTTTGCTCTGTTGGGTTTTTTTCCAATAACTCAAAGGGCCGAAAGGTATTCCCTTTTCATATTCTTCTCTCCCAATTTCTTTAGGGTTAATTTCAATTTTCTTATGCTATTTGCAGTGGTGCTGTTTAGGGTTTAACTATTTGATTTCACAGATTCGTTTCAGACACGGTAAATAGTTACATTTTAAATTCGTATTTCATAACTTGGTTGCTTGATTCTAATGTCGATTCATTACAACAGAAGTGAACTTTTTCTTTCAATAATTTAATCTGATGCAACTCTGTTTTTGTTCTCTCATGTCTAGGTTGGTCACGGACATGGGGAGAAGAGCACTTTGGAAATGGGTATGAAGGGAAATAAACTTGCTGAACTGCATTGGCATCTATTGTTCTGGTTTTTCTTTGACAAGTTAACTTGCTCTCTCTTTGCAGTAAGGTGCACAAATATGGAAAAGGCACGACAGGGGAAAGCTGGGATGTTGTTGGGGATGAGGAGACCTATTACGAGTGAGTCTGGACTTGGTTCTGGTTCTGTCTACATATAGTATGTTGAAGCTCCATTTCTTGAAATAGCTTGCATATTGTAGGTTGATTCACATTCATTCTGTTTACTCGAGAAGGTCCATTTCTTGAAATAGCTTGCATCCTTATTGCTGGTCTGACAGTCATTCTGTGGCTAATTGTGGTTGTCTCAGAATGCACGGGCTAATTGTGGTTGCATCCTAGCTAGCTACGAAGGGTCTTTAGTCTTAGCCACGACTTGTACGAAGGACTGTTCCCAGTTCCTGGTGGGGTTGTGAATATGACTATACAGATGGCCTACAGATGGACTAGCTTCTTAAATGGCAGTATGTATAGTTCAACCCTTCTTATCATCTTTGAGTAAGAAAAATCAAAGCATTAATTATTCTGCATGAGTTTTCATGCGTTCACGATCATGTGAATACATCAGAATTTTTGGCCAAATTTTCCACATAAAATTTAGAGAGTTTTAACGAAATACTCCTGGTACTCGGTCTTAGCTACGACTTGTATGAAGGACTGTTCCCAGTTCCTCGTGGGGTTGTGAATATGACTGGTCTTAAAGTTCCTGCCCCTACAGATGGACTAGCTACTTACATGGCCGTATGTACAGTTCAATCCTTCTTATCATGTTTGAGCAAGAAAAATCAAAGCTTTAATTATTCTGCATGACTTTTCATGCATTCACCATCGTATGGAATACATCAGAGTTTTTGGCCAAATTTTCCACATAAAATTTAGAGAGTTTTAACGAAATACTCTTGTACTTCATTATAGCTACGACTTGTATGAAGGACTGTTCCCAGTTCCTGGTAGGGTTGTGAATATGACTGGTCTTAAAGTTCTGTCCCTACAGATGGCCAAATTTTCCACATAAGATTTAGTCCTCTCAACTTCCTAACATTATCAAACATTAATTTAATCCTCTGAACAAATTAAAGAAAGATAGTTTTAAAGTTGAATCTGATCTGGAGATAAAGTTGACGAGTATTATTACACGGCAACTTGATGATGTTGCTGGTGATGTATCTGGATTGGCCGTGAAATGGTATGGAATTTGTTTATGCTTTTACCAACTACACAAACTGAGTCGTTTTTGCTCTTATCTGTGGGAGTTTTATGTGATTAGAAGTCTGATCTTATGTGTGTATACAAGCAACAGTATCATTTAAATGCTTTTAAAACCCGTAGCATCGCGTGGGCAATTGTTGCTAGTTATAACCAAATGCATGAAATTGAAATGTTATAGAAATGTTGTACGAGGTTACAATTGGAGAGATTTTTCAATGTGACCGGAACATGGGATGGTATATCACGTGTCACTATATAAATGATAGAACATGGGATGAAAAAATTTTCGTTACAATTGTACCAAAATTTGAAGAAGTAAATTGTAATTTACCCTTTTTACTTTCACTTGCACATTTACCGGTTTGACGCCCAGCTTAGGTGGGCGTATTATATCCCAGTAAAAATATCACATCCATCAAAAAAATTAATTTTTCATGTATATTAATACAATGTATTTGAAGGAGCGACGATTCCCAATTCCAAGTGGGATCTTAAATTAACTTGTCTCTATAGATGTGGACTAGCTAGTCCCAAATAGCCGCTTATTTTAATCCATCTTATCATCTATGAAACTTTTGTCCAAGATTCCAAGAGTCCGTCCGACGACTGCTACTCTCATTGATGTGCACCGATTTGAAAATGCGGTCTCATGCCGTAGAGGATGGTTTAGAAAAGGTGAGGCTCCCTAGTATATATAGGTAGCACTACTCTGGATCCTTCGTTGCTCATACACATCACCTGCTTCATACACTTGAACTTTATGGAGAGAACCATGAGAGTTGTTACACTGCTAATCAGGTTTCTAGCCATTGCAACCATTACTTTCAGTACTGGTTTATGCAATGGAAATCCCGGTTGGCCTCCATTTTGCAAAGAAAGCGAAAGACAAGCACTTCTGATGTTCAAGCAAGATCTCAAGGACCCTGCCAATCGGCTTGCATCGTGGGTTGCAGAAGAAGATTCAGACTGTTGCAGTTGGACAGGAGTTGTCTGTGATCACGTAACCGGCCATATCCATGAGCTGCACCTTAATAGTTCCGTCTCTGATTGGGAATTCCACTCTTTCTTCAGTGGTAAGATAAATCCTTCTTTGCTCAGTTTAAAGCATCTCAATTACTTGGACTTGAGTATAAATAATTTCAGTACAACACGAATTCCTAGTTTCTTTGGTTCTATGACAAGTTTAACACACCTTAATCTTGGATACTCAAGGTTTGATGGAGTAATTCCTCATAAACTGGGAAATCTCTCCAGTCTACGTTATCTCAATCTCAGTAGTTATGGTCTGAAGGTTGATAACCTTAAGTGGATTTCTGGTCTTTCTCTGCTGAAACACTTGGACTTGAGTTATGTAAATCTTAGCAGAGCATCTGACTGGTTGCAAGTTACAAACATGCTCCCTTCTTTGGTAGAGTTAGATATGTTTCATTGTCAACTTGATCAAATTCCCCATCTACCCACCGCAAATTTTACTTCCCTGGTCGTCCTTGATCTTTCTGAAAACTATTTTAATTCTTTGATGCCGAGGTGGGTTTTCAGTCTTAAAAATCTAGTTTCTCTTCATCTCAGTGATTGTGGTTTCCAAGGTCCAATTCCTAGCATTTCACAGAATATCACATCTTTGAGGGAAATTGATTTGTCATACAATTATATTAGTCTTGATCCGATTCTCAAATCTATTCAGAATATGACTGGTCTTAAAGTCCTTAATCTTGCGGAGAACAACTTCGATTCTACCATACCTGAATGGTTGTATAGCTTGAACAATCTCGAGTCCTTACTTCTTTCTTACATTGAATTACGCGGTGAAATATCGAGTTCCATTGGAAACATGACATCCCTTGTCAATCTTCACTTGGATGGTAATCGGTTGGAAGGGAAAATACCAAATTCTTTGGGGCATCTTTGTAAGTTGAAAGTTCTTGATCTGTCAGGGAACCATTTCACGGTTCGAAGACCATCCGAAATCTTTGAAAGTTTGTCTAGATGTGGTCCAGATGGAATAAAGTCGTTGTCGTTGGGGAATACTAATATATCAGGTCCCATTCCAATGTCACTAGGAAATCTGTCAAGCTTGGAAAAATTGGACATATCTGGAAATCAGTTTAATGGAACTTTCACTGAAGTTATTGGTCAACTCAAAATGCTAACGGAATTGGATATATCTTATAATTCGTTAGAAGGTGCAGTGTCGGAAGTTTGTTTTAGCAACCTTACAAAGTTGAAGCATTTCATTGCAAAAGGAAACTCATTTACTCTGAAAACTAGTCGAGATTGGGTTCCTCCTTTTCAACTTGAAATTTTGCTGCTGGATTCCTGGCATTTGGGGCCTGAATGGCCGATGTGGTTGCGGACACAAACGCAATTAAAAGAACTAAGCTTGTCTGGTACACAAATTTCAAGTACTATTCCAACTTGGTTTTGGAACTTGACTTCCCAAGTAGAGTATTTGAATCTCTCTCACAATCAGTTGTATGGGCAGATTCAAAATATAGTTGCTGCTCCTTTTTCAGTGGTTGATCTTAGTTCTAACCATTTCACTGGTGCATTGCCTATTGTTCGCACCTCATTAGAATGGAGCTCATTAAAATGGCTGGATCTTTCCAATTCATCATTTTCTGGATCTGTTTTCCACTTCTTCTGTGATGGGCCGGATGAAACAAAGCGACTTAATGGTGTTCATCTCGGGAACAATTTTCTCACTGGAAAAGTACCCGATTGTTGGATGAGTTGGCATTCCTTGAGATTCCTAAATTTAGAAAACAACAACCTAACTGGGAATGTCCCAATGTCCATGGGATACTTAGAAAGGCTGGAATCACTGCACTTGCGCAATAATCACCTGTACGGAGAATTGCCACATTCCCTGCAGAACTGTACGGAGTTGTCAGTTGTTGACCTTAGTGGAAATGGGTTTTCCGGAAGCATACCAATATGGATAGGGAAAAGCCTTTCAGAGTTGAATGTTCTTGATCTTCGTTCAAATAAGTTTGAAGGAGATATTCCTAATGAAGTTTGTTATTTGAAAAGTCTCCAGATATTGGACCTTGCACATAACAAACTCTCAGGAATGATACCGAGATGCTTCCACAATTTGAGCGCCATGGCTATTTTATCAGAATCATTTTATGGTTTCTATTTTCTGAATGAGGGTAAATTTACAGAGAATGCAATCTTGGTAACGAAAGGGATAGAAATGGAATATACCAAGATTCTGGGATTCGTAAAAGGCATGGACCTTTCATGCAACTTTATGTATGGAGAGATCCCTGAAGAACTTACCGGCCTCCTCGCATTGCAGTCCCTCAATTTATCGAATAATCGCTTCATCGGAAGAATTCCTTCAAAGATTGGTAATATGGCACAGTTAGAATCTCTCGATTTTTCCATGAACCAACTTGATGGTGAAATTCCTCCAAGCATGACGAATTTGACATTTCTGAGTCACTTAAACTTGTCCTACAACAATTTGACGGGACGAATTCCGGAAAGCACTCAACTGCAGAGCCTCGATCAGTCGAGCTTCGTCGGCAACGAATTATGCGGAGCTCCCCTCAACAAGAATTGCAGCACGAATGGGGTGATACCGCCACCAACAGTTGAGCAAGACGAAGGAGGTGGATACCGTTTACTAGAAGATGGGTGGTTCTACGTGAGCTTAGGAGTTGGATTCTTCACGGGGTTTTGGATTGTGCTTGGTTCTTTGCTGGTAAACATGCCATGGAGCGTTCTTCTTTCACAGTTGCTGAATAGGATAGTGCTTAAAATGTATCATGTAATTGTTGAATATGTTTAGCTTTGTTTTGTACTTTGCGTAAGTTTGTTGGCATTTTCCTTGCTGTGACGAATATGCCAGTATGGTTGTGTTGCCTGATTTTGTCAAATTTCGTCCTCTTGTTTCATTGTATTTTTCTTTCAGGTTTGGCTTTAAAGGGGTTAGGTTTCATGTCATCCCTCCCTTGTATCGTTTTTGTTTTCGTTTTTATGAGGGGTAAGGTTTATATTCTCCCTGACTAAGTGTAACTTATTTGTTTCGTTATTAATAAAATATCCCTCGTACCGTCGAGGTTTTCTTAAAAAATAAAAAATATAAAAAAAAAATCCCATATAAAATTAAAAGACTTGTTTTCTGAACAAGTAACTCTTAATTCAGTAGAAGCAAATTGAATGACAAGAGAAATGTGTGAAAATGGTTTATGGATTAGTTACCTATTAATTAAGGGGTGTGATATCCACACACCCCATTTTACTTATCACACACCTTTTTAATTTTCGACCGTCGGATCAGATGAATTAAAGAAGACCAACGAACAAAAATTATCAAGAGGTGTGTGAGAAGTAAAATAGGGTGTGTGTATAACACACCCCATTAA